CCTCACTCGGATAATAAGGTGTGACCCTGGGAGTGGCTCTGGGAGTAGGCGGCACCAGAGGGGCTGAGCTTCACTCACCTGTTCCCTTGTAATTTTACCCCTAGCCTCATTTGAATGTCTTTTTCCCAATAAAGGGTTCGGCTTGTGCTCCTCTCTGTTTCTGCAGACCCGTAAGGTCAGAGGAGCCGTCACAGGACCCCAAAGGACAAGGTGTCCCTGTCTGTTGTGTGGTGATTTCGTGCAGCCCAGTTCCCCTGGAGTGACCCTGAGTGTTTCTGTTGCGAGGAACGTGGCAGATCCAGGACTGACAGCTAGCCAGGGGTGGCAACCTGAGTCCTACAACTGGGAAAGGCAGTTCTGCCACCACCACCACCACAGGAGCTCGGAGGAGGACCTGAGTCATCGTGAGCACAGGGCAGGCAGTGCCTCAGTGCCAGCTTAGTGAGACCGGGAGCAAGAAGCCCAGCCACCCCCTCTAGACATCCCGCCTGTCAGCTGTTGAGAGGCATGATAACGACCGTTACCTGGATGAGAAAGTTCTCTGTTATTCCTTATTTTTCAAGAGTTCTTACGAGAAATAGATGTTGGGTTTTGTTAAATAGTTTTGCTATAGTAGATATAGAACATGTAGTTGGTATAGGATCAATACCACGCATCTCTAGTTGGTATAGAATCAATGATATCCACCCATAGTTGGTACAGAATCAATACTACTTCTGCTTGGGTGCTTAGGAGAATTCACCAGTGAAACCAACTTGGCCTGGAGTTTCCTTTGGGGGAAGTTTTCTAACTGCAGATCCATTTTCTTTAACAGATATGGGGCTGCCCAGATTGTTTCTTCTTGAGGGAGCTTTAGTAGTTGCTAAATTGTCCATTTCACTTGGGTCATTGAATTCATTGGCAAAATGTTGCCCATGGTCATCCTTTATTATCATTTTTCTGTCTGTAAATCTATAGTAATATTCCCTCTCTCATTCCTGATATTGGTATCTTTTGCTCTCTCTCTCTCTCTGATACCATTAATTCCCTTCTCTCCCTACACCCCATTGATCTGTTGAGGTCAAGTTGGAGGTCTATCAACTTCATCAGTCTTCTTGAAGAACTTCGCCGATTTCCCCCTATACTTCTTGTGTTTTCTTTCTGATCTTTATTATTTCCTTTCTTCAGCTTGCTGTGGGTTTAATTTGATGCCTTTTCTAGTTTCTTAGCCTTGAAGTTAAGTTCATTGATGGGAGATCTCTGTGTTTCTCTGTTTTCCTTTGAATGTTGCTGCAGCTCTTTCCCAAATTTGATGTGCTAGGCTTTGATTTTCATTCAGTAGAAAATACTCTCTGGGGCTGGGGATGTGGCTCAAGCGGTAGCGCGCTCGCCTAGCATGCATGCGGCCCGGGTTCGATCCTCAGCACCACATACCAACAAAGATGTTGTGTCCACCGAGAACTAAAAAATAAATATTAAAAAAAAAGACTATAATCCTATGGTCAAAATGTTCAAGATTAAAAGAATTTAAAAAAAAAATACTCTCTGATCTCCCTTTCTTCTTAGATCCAGGGGCTGCCTAGAAGTGTGTATTTGCAGATTTTCCAGAGATCTTCCTGGAAGTAATTTTTTCCTCTAATGCTTTCATGATTATGTCTTTATTATTCTGAGTTTCACTAAAGTACATCTGGATACTGGTTTGTTTTGATTTATCCCACTTGGCATTGGCTGCTCTTGTGAATCTTGGCTGTGTCATGTCTGGGAACTTCTCAGTCATTTTCCCTTCATAGGACCCTTGCTCCCTGTCTCCTCCTTGTGTGTCACCCAGCGACCGCGCAGTGTCCCCTCCACTCCCTGTCTCCTCCTTGTGTGTCGCCCAG